AAGACAAGACATGCAAGCGTCAATCTCTCTTGAAGTATTAATTTTGGCGCAAGGCATCTTTTACAAATGGAAGACGCAGGAAAGTTGAATTTTCTTTGACTCGACTAACATAAGAGTCATTATTTTATTACAAAAAATCAACTTCCATCTTACGCAAAAAAAAAAACTTTTATTTTAAGCTTCTAGACTTACAATTGCCTAGTACTTTTCTATCTTATGCAAAAAAAAAGACTTTCATTTTAAGCTTCTACAGACTTAGTACTTTTTGAGATACTAATCGTGCTCAAAGCACATCTAAGCCCGCTACATGCGTCGCTCCTATATTTGTACATAAGCCGTTGCACGTGCTCGGACAAGAGCGAAGGCCCGTAGAGAAGATAGCGCGTGAGTAGGTAGAGTTATGCATAATGTAACACGTGGTATGAAACAAAACGCCTTCTCCGCGATAACAAAATCGATGCACGGAGGATAAAGCTGGAAATTGTGAGAAAGAAAGAGAGAGAGAGAGAGAGAGAGAGAGAGAGGGAGAGAGAAGAAGAAGCAGTAAGAGCACGACTGCAAAATTATATCTAACGACGGAAGTACGAAGACGAGAGACATTCGTAGCAACAACAATAATCTTATAATAAAGGAAATCTTATAACAAGATCTCGTCGCATTAACAAACGTCGTTGAACGAAAAGATGTTTTCATATAAATAATAATATCGTAACATTCAACAAAGATGAAAAATATATTCGTTATTAGATTAGAATTTCATTTGAGCTACATTTATATTCGTTATTAATAATTTATTATATATTTGATATTTGAATGTTTTAAATTTTCACAAAAGTCGAAAAATTATGTTTGTCAAAATTTTGTCAAATATATGCCATTTAAAATTGATGTATTCCTTTCGTTTCGATTGCAAAATTTCAATGTTATTTCAGGTAATTTAAAAAGAAATGAGACAACATGCCGAGGTCGACAAAATCCAAGAGGGAGCTCCATGTATCTTACAAGAATTTACCACGGAAGGCAAAAAATTTGAAACTAGCTTTGATATTCTAAGCACGTCGCCAATATTCCGTACTTTGCACACGGCTGAAAACGCCATTTGTTCGCAAGGAGAGCCGAAGTGAGAATCAAGAAGAGGTACGAAATTATAATGCCGACGATTCAAGTGGGTTAAAACGATTCGGGCCATCGTTCGTTCGCGAGCATGCGCGACTCTAATTAAATTCGCAGTCTAATGCGATATTACTAATGAATAATTTTGCGATATTATCGTGTCGGTACTGATGACATAGTTATTCAGGAATCGAGCGAACATGGTGGAACAATTTTAAGGATTGCGCGACATGTTCTGCGAAAGACTAATTGTATACGTAATATAGAGATAGGAAGTTTGTTTACTAACGTCGTTCGACGATAAATAACATCAAGCGTGTATTCGTCAGGTGTGTATTCGGTACACGTTGACTTTGTAATTTTTTTTTGACATCGTAATGTTAAAAGTTATAAACAAAATCGCGCGGCAGCATAAATAAATATATGTAAATGTATAAATATATGTAAATTGGGAGATTTTTCGAAAGACAATCATGACAATGACAATCTTAAATTATCAAATGGGATAGAATTACTCCGCGGATATTGATTCAAAGATAATACGCAATAATTATCTTAATAGTTTCTAAGTCATTGGCGCGACGCTGTGAAACGAACGCCGCTCGTGTGCTCATCGCACCGAAAGGAAATCAAATTAAGTGTAATCACCGAATATAATTTACAGTCTGTGCAACGGAATTGTAAAGGTCGAGGCGTGATGGAAAATCACCGAGTAATTATTAATCGCGTAGCTTTCATCGGTCAATTAATCCGCTAATAGTTGAGCGGACTGTAAAAAAAATCAGTCTTTTTCTCGCGAAGCAATTAGAAATTATTTTTTTTTATAAATCACTACATCTACCATTATACTCCATCTTACCGTTATTAAAATATACTGCAGGAAATAAATAATAGAATCCCAGATCACTCGTGCTTCTTTTGTTTGAGTATTCATCGAGTTCATCGATTTGCCGTCGATAATTGGGCGGATAAATGGGCGTTCGAAGTTACACGTTAATTATAGTTTATCATTCTCATTTGAAACGAAGCTGACTTGCTCGCGATGAGTTAACAAGTTAATATCACACGTTTGGAAAAACCGCATGTTCATTGTAAATATTACGTAAATGTATATTCACGAATTAAATCGCCTTGCAATAATGTAAATTTTATTTAAAATTAATTGGTAAGATCTCAAGACGGATTTATACTGAACTTATCTGAAAAGTTCATCAAGTAATAAATCCATCTTGAGATCTCTCATCTCACCGAAAATAGTTATCTTTTCTAAAATCTAATTTTCTATAATTTCCTATTACCTACTTTCTATGTCCTATTTTTTTTCTCTATCTATCTCTTTCTCTCTGTATATATATATATTTTTTCTATTTCTTATTTTCAAATTTCCTTTTGCGTATTTTTAAAACGCGATACGTCGGATTCGGCGGATATAAATGTTCGTTTATCTGAAATTGTTCGCAAGGTAATTCGACCTTCCGGATTTTTTTTTTTCAACTGGTTATCGAAATTTTTACGTGCGACAATCATATCAAAATTGCATCGTAACCCGTTACATAAAGCGAAACGAAGGAGCTGACGAGGCTTCGCGATCTATTCTCACGTTCGCGATGTCTATTAATCATTGTCACCAGCATCGCGACGCTCCGCGAGCTGTGATTAGCTTCTCGCGGGGACGGGGGCAGAAAATCTCACGCGAAAGTCCGATCGTATTCGCAAGTGCAAGTGACTAGGCGGCTCTCCTCGGCTCACCGGAAACTTTCCCGGTAAATATCGCGAGACTCGAAAGTTCATGTTCCAATCTAAACCGTCAAGCCGGTAAAGAGGATCGGAGAATTCGTCTTTTTTAACTCTTGCCGCAATTTCCGCGACGCATGTGATGAAACGTGATATTGAAGTCGAAGTCGGAATATCCCGACCATATTTACAGCAATATATGAGAAAAAAAAGTAATAATATGATACCTCGATCATTCGATCGCAAATTCCAAATAATTCGAGATGCTTCTGCTACGAATTAAGTAATCAAAGCTTTTTAATCCATAAGCTATTCGCGTAACGTTATTCGAAAATTTAAAGATTTTTCTTTATTATTCGAGACGTTATTGAGCAACATTATTACTAATGCTGAAATATGTCTAGAAATCGGAGACATAAATGAGCGTTCATTAAATATTCAACAAGGGGATTCTGAACTGTCGACATTCGTGTGTGCGACTCGACTTGAATCATCCTCAAGTATATCAGATAAATATCTAAGAGGGGGTTCGGGAATAATTACGGAATGTATCCGCCTGATGGCCACATATTCCCTGTGATACGTCGTGTGGAATATTTATTACGTATCCAAGAATATCCAAGAATATATCCGCCGGATACCTCCGATCCTCGCTCCGATCGCTCCGAGCACGCTCACGATACGAACGGGCGAGGTGCGTGTATACCTTTGACATTTTCCAGGAGCAACTCTCCGTACTACGAGCAGCACACGTCCGGCGCGGCGGCATCGTGGTCGCGTACATAAGCGTAGAAAGAAATTGCCTAACGCGGAACGAAAATATTTCATCCGATTTCTATGTTAATTTCTCACAATTATCGCGGCGGTCGCGAAACGCGGAGGCGGCGCTTCGAATGCAAATATATACGATCGAAACCGCGTCCACCAGCGCGAGCGAGCGTCAATTTCAAGACAGGATTCCAATTTACGGCGATGTTCGCCGCTAACAAGGTCGTAAATTTTGCAGGAGGGCGATCAACCCGACTTAACGCCGTCCGGATCGCGCCCTCGGTTTCAGGAGAGAGGAAACAATACAATTCTTCGCACATTACGAGAAACAAGAGCCTGACTCCTCCTTCCCGCGTGAGAATTAGATCGCCTCGCGTCTTTTCGCGATAACGTTTCGTAAACTCGTTTTTTTTTTTTTTTTTTTTCGACGGATGCATTCAAATTTCTCGGACGACAGGCAGGCCGCGCGGGTCGTCCGTTTCTTGCGCGAGCGAAACGGGATATCTTCGTTTCCCCCCTGCATCGGCCGACACGATTCGCGACGAGGCCGAGTAATCGGCATCCTTGACAGAGAAGCACTTTCCCCGAGTCGCGCGTCGGCGACGAGCCGGCGGCCGATCGGTCGGTCGACACGCAAAAATCTCTGATCCATCCTCCTGACGGACTCGCAGCTCTCGGTCAGTGTCATCGATGACTCCCGTTTGGGTAACCCGAGGATACCTATCTTTTACATTTACTTTCTCCTTCTGGCGATCCAGACAAAACGATAACAAATCATGTCGTTCAACTCGAATAAGAAGTTTCACTGAACTTGCAGCAAGAAGTGCGAGAAAGTGAGCGAGAATATCGGAAGGCTGTTGAGTGTCGCGCGATCAACGTCAGGAGCGAGTTATTATTTTTTTTTATGAGCATGCCTCTCTCCACCACGAGATGAAGAGGCGACCGAAAGTACGCACGCATGCACGCACGCACCCATGCAGGCGTTTATTTACGTCGGTCGCGCGAAGAAGGGGGGTGGATCCCTCCGTCGCTCGCTCACCCGGAACTCGTCGCGATCGAAGCGACGAGGACGACCTAGAAAGCGATGCGCGAGATCCCGTTGTACTTGACACGACGACGCGTACGTGCTGCAGCGTGCGAGAGATAGACGGGTTCTTTCGAGAGGATCTCCCGCGTGTAATACGAGTCCCCCCGGAGCATGCAGACGGAGGGGGAGCATCGGTCCCGGAGGAACGCGGTCAAACGGTATACGCTCGTTCTGTCTCGCGCTCGAAAGACTTGTGGAACGTACATAATTAGAAAAAAAAAAAGAGGAAGGAAAATGAATTGAGAGACAGGACGGTGAACTGCCGGTTCCCCGAGATTATAACTAGAGAACGTCTTACCTGACCTTCCCACCGCAGAATTGACAGTGTGCGCCCTGCCAGCCCTCGTGGCACACGCAGGTGTTATTGGTGCACTTGCCGTTGACACAGGTGTCGGGGTCGCAGCCCGCGTCCACCGTCGGCGACGACGAGGAGGTGGAGGCGGCGGCGCTTACGTGGACCACCCAGCAGACGAGCGCCGCCCACAGTAGAAACGGCGCCCACGGTACCGTCGCGGTCGCGCTACCGCCGCCGCCGCTACCATGGCCGCACCGACACCGCCACCGCTGATCGCGATCCTGCTCACCGCAGCCGCGATCGAGCCACGCGCCGCCGTCGCCGTCGCTGTCGCGACGACGTTTCCGACGGTACTTGGACTTATATAGGAACAAAAACATCTGCACGATCTCTGCCATTTTGGTAGGCTTCCATGTCAGGGACAATGGCCGATGGCGACGCGCCGACGAGGGACGCGCATACGGGACGACGACGACGACAACGACGACGACGATGATGAGGGGAAACCGACGGCGGAACCGTGGCCTGCGTGCCCGTCCGTCCCGCTTGCTTGTCTTCGCGCGACTCGACTCGCCTCGGCTCGATTCGACTCGACTCGACTCGCCCAACGGCGAACTCGCGGTCTCGCGCGCGACGGCGACTCGCTACTGCTCCTGCCTGCTGGGCTCCGGCACGCCGTGCCTAAGCGCCGCGCCGCACGTTGGCACACACGCAGCGCACACGCTCGCTCAAGCTGGAGCAAACTCGAGGGGGAGCGCGCGCGCGCGCGGCCAACCACCGCCGCACCGCCGCGCCACGCGGTGCATGCCATGCACTGCACACTTTCTCGGAGTCGTCGGAGTGGGACCGCCACCGTCCGACTTGCCGTTTCGCAATTCGCATTCGAGCACGAGAGAATTTTTAAATCTCAATTAAGTTGCTGTTTTTAAGACGATATTGCATTTCCTGTACTTGAAATAAAAACAGATGTACAAAAAGTTCATTTTTCACTAATTGTAAGAACAAATAACTATGATCGTATAAATATCGGCATGGCAATAGACAGCGCGATTTACAGTCATAATAACTGATTTATGCTTCGGTCTTAATCTTACAATTAGTCTTAAAATTAGTCCTAACTTAATAAAGTTAAAGGATAGGAATTAACTTTCTGGGACTAACAATAAGACTACGATTAAGACCGGGAAAGCATAAACGATCTCTGGCATCCCTTGGTTGTCAACTTTTAAAAGATTAAGATCGAAGCATAAACCAGCCATAAACTTTCTAATAAAATTAAAGAGAATATTGAAAATAATAAAGGTATTTATTGTATGGGGTATAAAAAAAGATATAGAAAAAGGGATGCAGATCAAATTAATGTTTTTTTATCAGGTTTCCCTTTAATTATATTACAGCAATTTCATTGCAAAAGTGCACGAATTATTATAATAATTGGAAATGTTATAATCACAGCAAAACACCTGCAGTAAATACATTAAAATAGAAATAGTATTTTTCATTGATAAAAATAGTTTTCAATAAAATAATATATTTACATTTGATAGAATTATACATTTGTAAAAGTTATTGAAAACTTTTCTTTTACAGAATAGAATAGAATTATATATAATATTTATTTCAATTCGACAGCTATATATATTGTTTCATTTTTTTATTATAGGCGCAATTCCAAAAATATACGGTAGATTTATTTATCATTATTTATTGATTATCGGAGCAAAGAGAGTTTTCGATCGGTTATATATTTTACAAATCTACATTTTATTGATTACAAATGCTTTATTAAAAATTTATATTTTAATATAGTTTGCAAGAATTTAAACTTTATGCATATTTTTCGCTTCTATAAACGTCACAAATTCAAAATGACTGCAGTGACCATTGCAGGAGCCTTAAAAAAATATTGCTCTCTTTCTTTTATATTATTCTAGCTCTACTTCTGATTGTTACGCTGATTATTTTATATTGAAATAATGAATTAATTGTTTCATAAAACGTAACGCGTGACTAAATAAAATTTTACTACATTAAAGAGCCAATTGTTTCAAGTATATAATATTTATTATACTGCTGGAATTATTGCCACATAGTAGATATTTTAATCTCTTCAGCCTTGGCCTTTACATGCGCTTTCCATATCGAAGTAAAATTAATTCAAATATTACTTTTTCAATCGTATATTTAAATTTTATAAATTAACATATTATAAACAAGTATATATATTATAAGTGTTTAAGAGTCAATTAATTACGTACGTTTATTAGCATGCAATTGTTGCAGTTAATAATTGTCACTATATTTTTACCATCAAAAAGAATATCATATATACTTTTGACGATCCTAACATTATATATACCTATATTAGATAATTAATGTACTTAAAATTAATCCTAACGTTATTATATACATACATATATATATGTATGTGTGTGTATATTATATTGATAATTCAATGTATATCAAGATGATCGAATAAAAGAAAATAATAAATTATAAAAGTGCATAATTAGTTTCAAGGTTGTGAACAATATATATATGATTGTGTCTTCATATATTTACTTTTTTAAATTAGAATCTACGCGATAACGTCGTCGTTATGTACTTAAATGCAAATGAAAGAATTTTAGCGACGATCATGAGCTTGAACAATATATAAATCTATATATACTATACATATATACAGATAAAATAATTAGATAACAAAATTAAAACTTAATTTCATAGACTTATCATAAGAAAGTTAAATTTAATGAAAAATAATCTTACGAATTATTCTTATAAATTGCGGAAGCACAGAGTGTGTTCACTGTTCCCCCACTCCATCTCGTTGTCGTAACAGCCTAGGCGCGCGCCGCGCGAGTTGCGATTGCCATGCGTTGAGCAACTAGGTTTGCTAGGTTAGGTTCCTCATGGTAGCCGAGACGTCGTGTCGCTGATGCCGCTGATGCTGTGGCCCAGGGGTGCGGATTTGCGCGAACGAACGTAACACCTTGGAACGAGTGACCGGCCAGCCGGTCAGGCACTGGAGGAAGATAACGCCGACGTGGTAGCGCGGTACAGCGTCGTCGTCCGCGCGTCGAGCGTGCCGAACGTGGTGCCGACGTGGTTGAGGTTAGGCCATGGCGAAGTACCTGATACAGATCATCGTGATGGGCGCGCAGGTCGTCGGCAAGGCGTTCACGCGCGCGTTGCGCCAGGAGATCGCGGCGAGCCAGGAGGCGGCGCGGCGGGCGGGCGGCGGCAGGCAGGGTGCGCAACACGTCGCCGCCAACAGCAGGACCGGCATCACCCTGGAGGAGGCCCTTCGCATCCTGAACGCGGAACGTTCTGACCAGACGGAGCTGATCGAGCGAAATTACAAGTATCTCATGGAGGCCAACGACAGATCGAAGGGCGGCTCGTTCTACCTGCAGTCCAAGATTGTACGTGCCAAGGAACGCATCGACGAGGAACTGAAAAATAAAAAGGAGACGACGACGACGCCACCACCGCCGACATCGTCGTCGCAGGAAGACTCGACGAGCAGTCAAGAGACCTCCAGGCAGCCATGAGATTTGTCCCTAGTCTAAATTTACTTATTCTATACAACTGTACATAACATCATAATAAATATAATAGATTCTGGTATTGAATTAGAATGGTTTCAAGGCATGGCAATGTTATTTTTTTTTATCCAGCATAGAAATGTGTAAATATGTAACATAATCTTGAAAAAAAGATAACGTTGATTATATAATGTACATTTTGAACGTGCGGACGTCCGAGACTTTTGTGAGAATAAAACGCTGGTTTTCTGTATCAAGGAATGATGACTCGCGCGTTTGCACACTATTGCATCATGCAACGGGACGGCAGGGCAAATAAAAGTTGGAAGTATCCATGTATATGTATATCCATGTATATATATTTAGGAGATATATTGATTCATATAACAGTCTTTGAAGTTCTCGCTCTTATACGAGACTTTTCAGTTATAGTATTCAAAATTCTAGCGCTACTGCGTTAATCCAGCTGCCTTCGCATCGTCCGCATCGATCCTATTCTGTGACTGGCGTATGATCAATCGCTCCTGATTGTGGCGTACAGACCATAGGTTTGGCAAGTATTCGGGTTTCATCGTGAAGAGAAAATGTTCCCTCCACATACGTTCCAACTCGACGAGTCCACTTTCTTGCTTTTGGAAGTGTTGCACCACCTGTTGAATAGAATTCAATCGAATAGCATACGCTTTCACAGATTTGTCTTTGGACGGTCTTTAAAGACGGGGGTTTTACCTTCAGGCCATGCGGCTGATACTTTGTGGGTACTGGTTTCTGGATCAGTGCATTCTTCAGCTGCTCGTTCAGGGCATTGAGCAAATCCGGCGTAATTTTCTGCTGTCCCGTGTGCTCCAGTATGCAGTTCTCGTACTCCTCGCGTTGACGTTGAGGTAACGCGAACTTTTCCCTCAAGGCCTTAACAGCCGAATGCAACTTCCGGCGGTTGTGCAAGTAATTGTCTCGTACGTGTGTTATCGGCCCAATTAATGGTGCGTCACACATGTCTGCTAACTTTCTTCTGAGTTGCAGATCATGGTTATTGCTGATTTCGTGACACAAAGGACACAATAATAATACATCATGAGATTGATGTGCCTTCATTACCACTGAAAAGAATATTTTGATTATAAATTTTATATATCTATAAATATAAAATTTGATTGTACAAATATGGAGAGAATTATACTCTCATACTTATTGTATTCATTATATGGCGTTGTTAATTAACAATCAAAGTAATTGTTATATATATATATATTTGCTATTTTTAACATTGTATAATGAATAAATTATTATAAAAATGCTTACATGGGAAATACTTCCGATATTCTCGCGGCACGACGTTTTTCCTAATAAATTTGTCGGTGCAACCACAGACTACACATTGATTGAGCTTCACCTGTGTATAATATTGTCCAACTTCTCCCAATGCTCGGCCAGATGGCTCAAAATTTAATTTCACTGTATATGGATCTGTCTCCACAAGTTTTCCTAAATTTTTCGTAATATACCATTCTGCTTTCTTGCGATCGCATGTACACAATATATCTCCATCAGGCGCTTGTAAATAACAATTATGATATAACGGTTTGATTCTTGTAGGTATCGCACTTTTACGATCGTTAATAGCGTTTTTATCTACTACTACTGATTTACTCTTAGCATTTAAAACATTAGTAATACTGTCCGCACTTGGTGATCGATGATCCTTGAACCTTAAACAGATATATTTATGTGTGAAATTCTTAAGTAGAATAAATTATATAATTTATAAATATATTTTGTTACCTCGTATCGACTGTTCTAGCAGGTACACCATGAATCCGCACATTTATATCACTACTCAATATATTATATAAGTAAATTCCTAATCTTTGCCATAATGAATATTTTTCTTTTTCTTTTTGCATTATCTGCAACAAAATTTGGGGTGTGAGAAGCGAAATTCATCGTTGTATATTAATAGTAATCGTTACAATAATCGTGTATAAAGCAAATTCGATTTCTCACCTTATGATAAATGATAACGGATGCAAGCGCATCACAAGCGGCATACGCAACTTGTTCGTCGGTTAAGGTGCTAGCATCCCAGTCACCGCACCTAACTTCTATTATTTTGTCCATCTCAATATTAAGATATTCCAAACTCATGGCAGCTAAGCTCTTCCGGCTCGGTAGATTAAGACTTTCAGCTAAGGTTCGCAAATCAAGAGTTCCATTAACTCTACATCCGTAATCCTTTACAATCTTCTGTCCGTCTTCGAACGAAGAGATCCCCACTTTAAGAATATGCTTACTAGCTAATAATTCCTGTGAACAGGCAAAACACAATTAAAATTTCATGTCACGCATAACTGTGGATAAATCTGATTGTCGAACTTCTTGTCGATGTGTTACCTTAAGTTTAGGTGGAATATATCCAATCTTTCCAATGCGAAACAACGCGACTACTCCGTTGAAAGTAGCCAGTTGTAGCAGAGAGACGGGACCTTCTTTGACCCATTCGCAATCAAAACCCAGTACTCCATCAGACAGATCGCTATCAAAAAAGTATTTGCAACTGTATTAGTAACTTTGCCTCAGATGCAGTCTTATTATCTTCGATTAGCTTTTGGTCGACCGATACATTTAAAAATTGCAAAACTGCTAATCATAATTTTTTTTAAGTGTTTTAATGTATTAATTATTGACTAAAAGTATATTTTATATAAATTATAATTTGCAGACAATGACAAACAAATTAATACAATCAATTTTGTAATTCTTAAATGTAATCAATCGATCAAGCTAATCAAAGACCGGCTCTTAATAAGAGATCATAAATAACGTTTTGATTTCTTCTAGAGAGCATATTTCATAAAGCAGATTTGAAATGCAATCAACATAGAAGTAGGGACGAGTGTAAATTTATAAGAGGAAATTGAAAAAGAGAAATTCATCTTATCCCTTGTAATTGATAGCAAAATTCATTTTGTTGCAAGAAAAAAAAATTCTATTAGAAAAAAAATAGGAATTAAAATAGATTTCCTTTCGTATAACGATCACTAATTTTGCCAGCTATCAATAAGAAATTCAGATAATTCTCGGAGAATCCCAAGGACACTTTACACGTGTCGCCTTTTCAAATACAATATGGGAATCATGGTATTCGGTATGGCTCTCTCCAGAAGAAATGTAAACAATGATTATGAAAACGGCTGTTTTCATCGCGTTGTGGAAAGTCACGGGAAATAATAATGTATCTGTTGTAACGCCCTCGAAGCTTCCAAGTTCCATATACGTTTGTCGAGAAATATCGTTAAAACGCTAAAAAAAAAAAAAAAACAGAATTGGCAATAACATTACATTTCAATTTATACCCTTACCAACGAATACGCTGTACGGCGTAATCGCATTTCTCCGGAGAGTCTGCCAGAATAATCTTGTCTAATATAAGCTTAATCTCCTTGCTGTCATCCTCATTATTATTATTATCATCGGTATCTTGCTTATTATCGCGCTTAGCTGCATTACCGCCTTGATCCTTGCTGCCATCTCGATTCTTTATATTTTTATATAGGTGCTTGACGCTGCGAAGCACGTTGTTGCGATACTTCGACGCCAAAAAGACGAGTCCCACGGTCACGCAAACGAGAAACATGTTGTTACGTGCGGGAACCATTAAATCAAAGAGGGGAAGGACGCTTTTGGAGACGCGCAAAAAAATAATTCGATTAAAAAAATCAACGTTATTATATACAGAATTTCTTCGTTATACATATATATATACATACACGCGCGAATTATTCGAGGGGGGGGGAGGGGAGGGGAGGGGATTTACGTTACAATTTTAAACGAAAGAAAGAAAATGTCAATCGCTCGACGTCGAGCAATTGGCGGACTACGGCTACGATTGTAACGATTTCAGGTAACTCAATCACATCAATCGATCACAGTGGATAAACTCTCTTCTCTTTCTCTCTCTCAGATTCGTCTCGATGGCATTTATATATAAAACTTAGCGCAACACGGCTATCGCGCGGAATCATCCGACTAAGATAAATCTACGATTATCTGAAGTCGCGGTCGCCCCTGCTCGAAAGTGCTCGGTATAAAACAATCATCTCGGTGGCCAGCTCCGAACCCATCGAAATTTCCAAACGCGAAAACGAGGTTCAAGGGACCCCCGTAGCTCCGAAAGAACGTCCGGCGCACGCGGCTACGGATTTCACGTACGACTAATCACTGCTAACCACAACTGACGGAACGACTCCCGGTTGCTCCGGTTCGGGCCCCACGTTTGTCAGGCGTTGCGAGACGATAACCTCATTCGATTTGCCCTCTTCTCTCTCGGAAGATCGATTCGATCAGCTGTTCGATAGTCGTCGAGAAAAATCGAAAATTCTCGACTGGAATTCGCTGAAATTTGTCACGTATAGGTATATGATTTATTTATTATTATTATTTTCATATTTTATAGATATATCTGCATGATAATAATTTGGTTTCAGTTTTATTTAAAACTTTTCTTTAACTTCAACTAGTAGTCATAAATAAAACTTTTTATTTATTAATTTTATTTATTTATACGAAACCTTTTTATTTAAAACTTTTTTTACATAAAACTTTATTTAAACTTTTCTTTTTATATAAAACTTTTCTTTAACTATAATAAATAAAACTTTTAATTAAAACTTTTATCGTCCACGTTTGCTTATCGATGCGGATAGCATAAAAAATGTTACATGATATTATTGTTTCATAAATGAAAGTTTATTATTTATATATCATTCGTATAATAACAAATCATTAATTTAATTACTGCGTAATTATAATTGTTTAAAAGTTTATGTTGACAGTTAAAATGTCAGTGTCCTTCAATTATATAGTCATAAAAATTTATTCAGGATTGGCTTTCACTCAAACATTGACGAGATATTATATTATTATTAAAGACCGCGACACCCTTACGGGAGTTAGCGTGGCTGCTTTAGTAATTGCTAAAATTTAAGCAATTAGTCAATAATACAATATTAATTTAGTGATTTATTGTTAGATCAATGTTTTTTTTAGACATGTACATTGTAATTCATCTGTATTATATATAACTCGCTAATAGTTAATTTTATTTAAAACTGTTTTATAGTTTTACCATACGTGTTTGATTATCCATCAGAGAGATGGTAAAACAGTTGGAAAAAAATGTAATTTTCGCGGCAATATGTTTGATATTACAGCATTACAAGTATTCATACTTATTTATAAAGCATTTATATAATAAAAATCATGATCTTAATAATGTATTATTCGAATAAATCGCAAATTTATGTCAAAAGTCGATAACATCGACATTCTGCGATTACCTCCTGGTCCGCCGGGCCCGCCGGGTTGGCACGAAAATTTATCCCGGGCTGACGGTCTTTATTAGTATCTCGTCGGTGCTCAAACCTTCAGTCCCCCTTGTAGTTACACTTTTTGTACTTTTCGCTTTCCCGCCTTTTTCTCCGATATCCAATTACACGTTGTTCCACGTCGAGTGTAAAAGGTGCACCTCGGTGCAGCCGCGAGAATGAGCTCTTCGCGATCTCCCGCGACGCGTCGCTTTCGTACGTCGATAATCTCAACCGTATATATTCTCGCGCGAGTTTCCGTCTATTTCGTTTGCTCTTCGACTGCGAGACACCAATGACTCTGATCGACTCCGATCCAATATTGTTTTGAGGTTATGAACGATATTTGTACATAATCCCGGTTATGAGATAGCTCTCCGTGAGATTCTTCGTTGTGGTATAATGAAAACTTGCGCGGCCCCCGGCTGTCCTTCCACTCAGAGCGCGAAGATAAACGGTAGTCCGATCACGTTCTTCACCCTCCCGGAGAATGATCTGTGAGTGATTTTCCTCTACCCGTAACGATCAACAAACAACGCGGTTCGGCGGTCGTTGAGTTTCTTGGTTGAATATTAGGAAAAGGGATCAGTGGCTTCGCAATTGTGACTTGACGTCCAGCGGCGAGGAACCCCTGTACCTGTGCGAGCTCCATTTCGAGAAAGCCCACTTCAAGCCCGCGTCCAAGGAGTTGAAATCCAACGCTGTTCCCACTTTGTTCGGTAGAACAGGTTTGTAAGCCTAGCCCAGTTGTCTTATCGCTACACTGTAGCTTCTTTTTATTGAATATCAAACGTATATCACTTTAAAATTCATTGTACTACTTTAGCTGTAAAGGACAAAGACCTAGGAATATACATACATCTCTCTGAATATACTGATACGAAGTATTGTTCAGGCGTTTGATTTGTTCATAGAAAATTTATTATCTAATCATATCATTTAAATAATTTTACTTGCTACAGTGTACTACTTCTTATTGATTTTCCAATTTGTGATTTAACAGTAACAGTAAATATATTTACAAATGTGATTATTTATAGAAATAACTTATAATTATTTTTGTAAATTATATCTTAATACTTATATACTTAAAGTTAGATCTTTATCCTTATAAGATTTTTATGAATTATTATATATAATATAAGGGAGTATTCCGACTAACCACGTTACGATTGGACACAATCACTCATAGCAACCTGTGCCTAGAGGCTTTCTAGTTTCAAGTGCTGTGATTGAGTTGTGATTGGCTTGTATCCAATTGTAACGTGGTCGTTCAGGTACCACACGTTATATAACGATATATAGTATATATATATATGAATCTCTAGGATCTTCGAAAGAACAAAAGGAGAATATATCACAGACCACGCCAGTGAAAGTACCATCAAAACGGAAGAAGGTAGATGAACATTTGCATGCTATAGTGACACCGCCACAGAGTCCGTCTGGTCCATCTACGCACAATAACGTAAGCTTTTTATTTAGTTATTATAATTACATAATATTACGACATATTTACAAAATATTAATAAATAATTCATGTCTGTATGTTATATTGCAGACTGCAGATATGGATTATGTAATAGCTGTAAACGGTTCTCCTTCCACAAACGAGAATTCGGAGAAAACATACCGCTTAATCATACAAATAGACAAAATCCGTAGTAAACCAGGCCCGAGGTGTAAAAAGGCGCGACCTCTGGTAACATTCAATAACGACACGAAAGACACAGAGGGGGCGAGTGGTAGTCCAAGGAAACTTCGGCCGTTACTTATGAAAAAGCCCTGTATTCAGGGTAACTGCAGACTGAGAAAATGTGTATATAAAGGACGACTGGCGTTTCAGTGCGACCTGTGTGAGAAATACTATCTTGCAAAGAAACAGGATGTTCAGACGAAGAGGCACTCCTGCACTAAATGTTCAAAAATTTTCCCCGACTCGCAGTCGCTATACGAACACATCAAGAAGCACTTTATATGTGATATATGTCTGACAGAATGTAACACTCAAGTGACGTTTGACAAGCATATAAGATTGCACGTTAGTACCGATCCGCTGTATCCATATAAATGTCATCAGTGTCAAAAGATATTTGACGTGAAAGATGGTGTTAAGCAGCATTGCCTGCTAGAGCATCCTAAAGGTCTACAGAACACCGTTATTCAAGTTACTTCTCCTATAACTACGTTAGTCCCTCAAACTGAGTATTTTTGTGTGACCTGCAAAACTAATTTCACAAACGACCAAGCTTACAGGTAAACTTATATACTTCTGTAGAAAGAATAATTATTGTTTAAGAGAATTTTGCAGTATGTAAAATATATTATGCATATTTATAAAACAATAATTATATAGCTCATATATGTGCTCATATATAGTTATTAACATTAATTATTAATTATTAATTATTAACATTTATTAATTAGTGTAATAAATAATAATTAAGATTAATATATAATAGTAATTTTGTGTTATAAAATATTAGTATATTACATACGTATATATATTTATTTCATATATTTATTCATACATGTAATATTACCAATGTTACAGGAGTCACGTAAGCTCCAAGCATGGAAAGAATGAGAGCGTTACTTGTAACATTACGAGCGAGGCTAAAAACATAATATCTGTACCGAATCCTATAACCGGGAGTCCACTAGGTATTCTTCAGGCGGTGAAGTTCAGTTGTCGGGTGTGCTCTAAAGAGTTCGACAATGTTGCGGAAGTTGACTTGCACACGAGGACTCACTTGGAGGTATCTGGCGAAGAGCTCCGTTGTAATATATGTAAGAAGCTTTTCAAGAGCAGCGCGGCATACAGCGAACATTTGAAACATCACCTGTCGCGCGGTCATTCCTGTCCAATTTGCTCGAAAGCCTTTATCAATAAGACTACTTTAAACATACACTTGAAAACGCACCCGGCCGCAGCACAGTAAATAGTACAGTTTTGTTACAATACTTTATCATGGATTTTTTTCCGTAAACACTATTCTTTAAAAGACTCTCACTTTATCGTGAATATTTCTCATAAACGCTATTCTTTAAAGGACTCATTTTATCGTGAATTCCCCTAAGCGTTATTCTTTAAAAGACTCACATGTGAAATATAATATTTAAAGAATTATTTTCAATTTGTGTGCGTGACACTTATATCGAACTTTGATACTGTTGCAACGCGTCACTTACGGAAATTTACACATTTGATGTTTGCTCCTTAATCATTAAATATCCGAATAGAATCGTATTTTTACTTTATCTGAATGAGCAAATTCTTTTTATTTTTCACACAATTATAAATTTGAAACTTGAAATTTAAATTTGTAATTCAATTTTATGACATTAGAAAGAAAACATAGAAAGTACAATTTACTGTAAATATTAAATTTATGTGTTGAAAGAGAATCATGTTATTAGTTTGTATTTGCGTATCGATTTCTTTGTGACAAAGAGAATTTTTATTGAGTGTTACAAAATATTGCCTATTTTAGAATATAATTGCCATATATAAGAAGTTTTTTCATAGTTTTGTAATAGAGTTTTGTTTGACGTGCAGTGAGCAAATTCTTTTTATCTTTCTGACAAATTAAAAATGTAGTTTTATTTTACGTCACCAGATAGATAGTACATTTTACTGTAAATATTAAGTTTATGCGTTGAACAAAAATTACACACTTTTTATTTCCAATTTCCAATAGGCGTATTGATACTTTTTAAATGTATGCATATTGTATACATTTTACATAGAATAAAACCGGAGAGCATACATAATATGTGTGTGTATTATTTAATAAATAAATAAATGTTGTATTACTTTGTCTGTGCTTATTTCTGATAACAATGAAATTGTTGAAAATATCACATGTGAGTAAGACATTCGTTACTTGTCAAAAGTTATTTTTCTAGTTTTTCAAATGTTATACATTTACATTTCCTTATAAACATCAATTTTTTAAAGGATAATTCAATATTTATGTTTTAGATATTTCTATCAATCTGTTAAGCTCTTTCTTTTATTAATCTTTTTTTTAACGAACAAAACGAATATAATCCTTGATTATTGAATTTTTTAAATAATGAGAAAACGAGATAATAATCAAAGTAAATAATAAAAAGTAAGAGAATATGTCAGTATTTCGATTTGTAATATTATAAATTTTAAAGCACGCGGAGTATGTTTCGTATAAAGAGACAGAAGTTTCCAGGAAACTATTTTCAGGGAACGATAAAATTCATGATGATACATAATCAGAGATTAAAAACTTAAATTTTGAGATTTAGAGTATTTTTCTTAACTCCGATAGCATTCTTTCGTACTTTTTCGTTGACAGAACGAATCTATTTTTTCTTTTAACAATAGAAAGCTATTGAAAACGTTTTAAAAGCGATTTCTAATTATTCGCATTAGCGGCCGTGTGTTGCGGATTGAATTATTCGCCTATTTTTCGCAGGATATCGACGGGAGTGACAAGTGCGAAGTGATAAAAGACTCGGGGGACCGTGAAGAGGGACTGTGATCGAATGAATGAACGAATGGATGAGCGAACGAATGGCGATAATAGCGTCCTTTGAGGACGCCGCGAATGCTCTCTCGTGAAACGCGCGCAGAATGACCCTGATTTTTACAAAAAAAAAAAAAAAAAACGAAAGGAACGTCCAGAAGTCACCGGCAGCGCGTAAGGGGGCACCTGGGAGTAAGGAAAACCCGCCCCCGCCCGCCTGGGGCTCAAAAGGTGCCGACCCGGCGGCAACCCGCTGCGGAACAATCGCGCCGATGTTCACGGGTCGCCCACTGTCAACGCGGACCACTTCAAACGTAGCCGGCCTCAATGTGTTTATTTGGCCAACGTCAAATTTACTCGTGGAAAAAGGGGAGCTTGAATCGATACGCGTCGCGCCGCCACGGGCACACACGGCGGCGGCGGCATCTCGCCGCCCTGTTTCCCCGTCGCTTGAGAAGACACGAGATCCGATCATTTTGTATCGCGGGGGGATTCGCCTCGCAGCGTGCGGGGCGTGGCTCGTGTAACCCCGTTTGTAAGCTCTTGTGACTTTCGTTCGCCGCGTGCTTAAGTCGAGCACGGGCGTAGTAATCCGATTACCATCGGTTCATTCCGTCGATTTGAGAGAACTTCAGCGGAACAAGTGCGAATTCTCATCTCGCAAAGATTCGTGTACATTTTGGACATACAAATTGGATACGCGCTCAATTAATTTTAAACTTTATTGATCTATAAATATAAGTAAAACATCCTTCAGTTTCTTTCAAATTAGTTATATATTAGTTACACATATTGTTACACATTTATGTTTTGATTTGACTCTCCACCCCTTTCCCATATTAATCGGCAAATGAAGACTGTTATGATAAAGAAGTGTTGACATACCTGCTAACAAGTAAAATCGGAGACGGTCAATTGATCGTGTTCCCTTGTAAGATAAATGAGGCATTTCTTGTTCTTATACTGTGCAACATCGTTAATTATTAACATTGTTATAATTGATAACATGTAAAATATTGAAAAGAATTGTATGACTTGTAGTGAATTAGTTTACATAGAGTTAGAGAATCTATCATTTAATTTTAAAAAAAATAAGCAAAAATAAATTATATATCTACATAATTTCTATAATAGTTTATCTATAATAGTTTATATAAAACACACACACACATACACACACACGCACACACACATGTATATATGGATGTTAAGATGTTATGTATAATGTTTTTATCTTTACTATTCCTAAATAAAAAATTGGCAGCTTGGTAAAACGTTTTCGAATTGTGTACTCGTATATTTCTTACATTGTGTACGAAACTCATTCAAAATATTCTCTATACATCCACATACTTCTTAAATTAATCATTTTAAATGACCGATTTTACATATATGTGTATGTATACATATGTATAATCGGTTATTTGAAAAGTGATTTGAACACATATATAAATAGATTCTTTTGTGCAGACGCATTATGAAATACTAAAAAATCTTATGTATGTTTATATATTTATCTAAATTTACTTGTTGAAATTGTGATTGAAAAATATTGGAGATAAAACTTTAAAGATTATAAATCTTACTATTTTTACGTATTAATAATTAGAAACAATTAAAAAGAATAATTTATCACATGTGGCCGTGATTGATATTATATGTATATTCTTTTTATTAGTAAAGGCCACAATTATTCCAAACAAAAACAATAATAGTTTGTTATTGAAATATTGTTATTGAAATCTTAGAAATTATATATTTTGGAAAAAGTTTTCTACGTTCGACAATATTTATAATAATTATACGTAGCGATTTTCGCGGATGTTATACTTCTGTAATATAAAAATTTAATAAATAAGAATTTAGAATCAGTTTAACTTAATATACACAAACCGCGGTAGTTAAATCCGACTTTTTTTGGAGTATTGTAATCGAATGAAAAAGTATAAAGTAATAAATAAAACGCAGAAATAATATGTTAATATTGTTATTTATTATTATTTATTGTAATGAGTTATGTTACAATAAATTAAATAACCTTTTGTAAATGAGAATTATATTATCTCCTTACAAAACTTTAATATTTTATTTAATAAATTTTGATTTTTTTGTTGCCATGAAACTATACCTTAAGAAAAAGATAAGGTTTAAAATGATGTTGCATCATATCCTTCAATTGAAAAATAATATGTTGTGTGTATATATATATATATATATATATATATATATATACGGTAGTAAATTCAAGAATAATTAAATCAAAATCGAAAATCTATTATAAAATAATAAAAGTTTTTATGAGACTGCAAGAAATTGTTAAGGGTGTTCATTTAGGATATATTTCTTAAAACTTAATTTATTGTAAATAAATGACAATACCGATTATTTCTGTAGTTTATTTGTGACTTCGTCATTTCTTTGCTCGACAAGCTCAAAAAAATTGTTAGATCCCACTGTCAGTTTCCGTATTATAGAATACGTGATGGCGTTTAGCAACGCTTTGTTACGTTCAGAATAACGGCTAGTAAGACGTCAGATATCTTCGCAAAAGTTTGGCTTTTTAATTCGCTATGGTCCTTTCCGTCTAGGTGTCAAGGTGTGCGTACACACGGGATTCGAATTCAGAGGATTAAGAGCGACATAGGGTCGTTGCATGACGAATTACGTAATTCGCCATGGACAGTTCGTGAAAATAGGCCTCGAAGAGTAGGACGTCTCTCAATTTGTTCCCATTTAGTATCTAATGTACTTTCTCAGAAGAATATTCTGAACTGAAGAATATCAGTTTTCATACTTGAAGATTATTTTTCACACAAAAGTATGATAATTATATTTCCTCTCCTCCATCGTGATAAAGTCGTAATGTCGTTAATAACTTACTACTTAAACTGTAGCAAGATATTGTGTCTTTACGAGTTTTTTTTTCAAATTTATTTAAAAAAGGCACGTGTTTTCCAAGCCGTAGATGATCAGCATAGTAAGGAGACAAGCAGTCTCCTGGTGGAGCATTGTGAAAGACCTTCGAAAAATCCCGGAAAGCGACACCCGTAAATTTGTACGGCATTTTTCTGACGTTTGTCGAAAGGGTTGTTCGACCACAAAGCCGGCAAATGTGCAATTCACGTGTCAAAATGACCGACATTTGCCGTCGGGAAGCGTTTTGTCAATTCAACGTGGACATTTCCGTGTGTTCGTGAAAAACGTTCGATCTTGTGACAGTGTGATACAGACAGCTATAAGTGAGATAGATGACACATGTATCATCATTGTAGAAATGAATAAAAATATCGGAGTAAAAAGATAAATTCAGAAAGAAGATTTTCAGCTTTTATTGTATTAATATAAGTATTAAATATTATTTAATGCTAGTAGTAGATAGAAACGGATTAAATTATAAATTACATCAATTTTTTATTAAATATTACCAAGATAAAATAATGTAATATTAATTAATATAATTATATATTGTTTATTATTTATTAAATAATCTAATAAAAATAAATAATTAAATAATGATAATTAATATAATAACAATTTTTACTTTTATCATATACTTAACTTTAGAAGAAAATGATATAAAAAATACATAACATTTTAAAGAAAATAAATTATTCACAAATATTTACATTACCGATGTGTGACATATGCTTATTTGCGACTTTCTTCATTCAATCGTATATATTTTATTTTCTTTATATTCCTATAGGAGATAATAAACATTCGTCATATTTTATGATTTTGTAAAAGACACGTGACTTGATGGGAACGCAAGGTAATTCTTTTATACGAAAACTACGAAAGAAGAGACATTACGGTCTTATATCAATACTCGTGGAAGCATATGCTCCATAGAATGTAAACGCATGAGGATCGCTTACGACCGTCTAAAGGAAAAGACTGAGGTCGGTCAAAGAAAGAGGAACATGTCGAGAGAAAAGACAGGAGAAGGGAGAGGAAGAGAGGGAGAGAAAGAGAGAGAGAGAGAGGGGGGGGGAGGAAGAATCTCTCTTTTGGTACCGGGCACGGGCCATCTGGCAGAACGATCTTTTATTATAGTATCTGTTCCTCCTCTGTAGCTCTTCTCGAACGGCGCAGGATTCACTCGCGCGGAAGTTGGATCTTTGATTAATGGACGGCGAGATAAACCGCATATATCGATTTTTCGATCAATATCGACGGCGAGAATGTTGGCACGAAGGCGTCGCGTTTGCTTTTGCTCCAGCTAATATTCACATTTAATAAAAAAGTTATCTTCTATCTCTTTTCCTTATGTATTCTTTTGATCCTTCACTTTTATCTTCTTTATTTTGC